CTCGCTACTTCAATACTCGCTACTCAATACTCACTACTCACTCCCCGCTACTCACTATTCACTACCCACTACCTACTACTCCCTACTCACTAGTCACTACATTGTCCCTAGTCACTAGTCACAACTCACCAGTCACTAGTCACTAGTCACAACTCACTAGTCACTAGTCATTAGTCACAACTCACGACCCACTACTCACCAATCGCTACTCACTACCCACTATTCGCTAACCACTTCTTACTACTCACTGCTCACTACTCCATCCCCCCCACTCCCTCCTCACTACTCACTACTCACTACTCGCTACTCCCTACTCGCTACTCACTAAACACTACCCACTCGTCACTACTGACTACTCTCTACTCACTACTCACTACTCACTACGCCCTACTCGATCCTCACTACTCACTACTCGCTACTCCCTGATCGCTACTAACTACTGACTACCCACAGCCACTACCCACTACTCTCTTTTCATAACTACTTACTACTCACTACTCACTACTCACTACGCACTACGTACTACTCAGTACTCACTACTCACTTTCCACGACTCACTACCCACTATTCGCTACTCACTACTCACTACTCACTACTCACTACTCAGTAAGCACTACGCACTACGCACTACCCACTACTCACTAATCACTAATCACTACTCGCCACCCACTACTCACTACCCATGACTCACTATCCACTACTCATTTCTCCCTACTCCCTACTCAGTACTCACTACTCGCTACTCGCTACTCACTACTCACTCCTCACTACCCACTACTCGCCACTCACTACTCACTTATCAAGACACACTACTCACTCTTCGCTACTCACTACTCCCCACTCCCTACTCCCTACTCCCTACCCGCCACTCACTACCCACTACTCACTACCCAATACTCACTACTCACTACGCACTAACTCACTACTCACTACTCACCACTCACCACTCCCTACTCCCCCCTTTCCAGCGCCAAGGAGGGGGGGGAAGGGGGGGAGGACCTCCCCCCCCCCCCCCCCCCTCCCCCTTCAAGGGAGGGGGGTGACGGAAGAGGGGAGGGGGGGGGGGGGCCGGGACCCCCCCCCCCCCCTTTGAAGGGGGGAAGGGGGAGGGGGGGGGGGGGGTGGAGGGGGGGGGGGGGGGAGGGGGGGGGAAGGGAAGGGGGGGGGGGTTCTGGACCGCGCGCGGGTCACTTTACAACCAGAAGCGCACTTTACAACCAGATGGGTCACTTCACAACCAGCTTGCAAACTCCGAGAGCGGCACTTTACAACCAGGAAGGGCACTTTACAACCAGGCAAGTTTTTTTTTTTATTATTATTTTTTTTATAAAAAAAAAAAAAAAAAAAATTGAATGCACGCGGGCCTTCCCCTGAAATCTCCGTGGGCAAGCGCAACGGTGGCTTTGGGCTCTTCGAGGCACGCTGGTTGTAAAGTTGCCCATCTCGCACGAAGAAGCACTGCGCACGCGTTGGCGATGCGGCGACCTGGTGCGCTATGGTATGTTGCGTGCTGGTGGGCGGATTAGGGTTTTGACCTGCTCTCTAAGCCCTGTCGGTCAGTTCTGCCATTGCTCGCTCTGCCTTTTTTCCTGACGGACGAAGGCTAGTCGCGCAGGACATACGAATAAACAACGATCCCTTCCAAGACTGGAGCTGCATGGCAGTGGGAAGCTGTAGTTGGAGATGTGGTGGTAGCGGCGGCTACGATGGGAACTGCACGGTGTTGGGAAGCTGCGGTGGCAACTGTGGTGGTCGCCAGGCAGCGGTGGGAACTGTGGCGGTAGCTGGGCTGCAATGGGATTTGCGGCGGTAGCGGGGGGTCAGCCGGAATTGTGGAGGTAGCGGGGCTGCAGCGGTAAGTGTGGTGGTAGCAGGCACAAAGGTGGCGGTGATGCGCTGGCACGGTGGCTCAAGCTGCTGCGCTGGCACGGTGGCTAAGGCTGCTGCCCGAGCAGGACACCTGCGTTGCTGCGCTGGCACTGTGGCTGACGCTGGAAGGAACGACCTTCGAAATACTTGCATTTATTCGGGACGTTGAACCTCGATCTTCCAAGAAGAGGAGCAGCATGGGGGCCAACTGGAGCTGGAACACTTAGCCCCTTGCAGAACACCGCGGGGCTTCAGGGGCCAACGTGGCCCAAGAGACCCGCGGTGCCAATGGCCTAGCTCCCTGGGGCGCTGGGCCCTTGTGGGGGCCACTGGGCTCGCTTCCTGTGAGTGATCCCTAAAATGGGCAGCGCGTCGCCCTGGGTCTTCCTACGTACGCTGTCGCCTTATTCCCGTGCGAGCACGGGGCCCTTGTTGAGGCCGCTTGGCCCCTGCTAGCAAGCCCTGTCTTAGTCTGCTGGGCTCAGAGCGCCAGAGCGTCCAGGCGCTCGGGCTCAGAGGCATCGCTGGGGCCTGCTCAGAGCGTCCAGGCGCTCGGGCTCAGAGGCATCGCTGGGGCCTGCGCAGAGCGTCCAGGTCCTCGGGCTCAGAAGCATCGCTGGGGCCTGCGCAGAGCGTCCAGGTCCTCGGGCTCAGAGGCATCGCTGGGGCCTGCGCAGGGCGTTCAGGCGCTCGGGCTCAGAGGCATCGCTGGGGCCTGCGCAGGGAGTTCAGGCGCTCGGGCTCCAGAGCGCCCACGTGCTCTGGAGTACTTTTCAGAGCGCCCGCGCGCCCTGGAGCACTTTTCAGAGCGCCCACTTGCTCTGGAGCATGTTTCAGAGCGCCCACTTGCTCTGGGGCATTTTTCAGAGCGCCCACTTGCTCTGGAGCACTTTGCGGAACGCCCAAACACGCAAGGCCACTCTGAGCTGGTTGTAAAGTGGTCCGTTTTGGTTGTAAAGTAGCCCGTTCTGGTTGTAAAGTGGTCCGTTCTGGTTGTAAAGTGGGCCGTTCTGGTTGCAAAGTGGACGTTCTCGATGAAAAACCATACTTTCCAATCCTATGTTGGTTGTAAAGTAACCCATCTGGTTGTAAAGTGGTTGTTCTGGTTGTAAAGAGACCGAATCTCGTTCTGGACCCCCCCCCCTTTATGTATTCAGGGGGATCCACTGGCGCACTTTCCAAGCGAGATTACAGCATGCATCCGTTTTGCTGCAGTCCGCAGGCTAAAGGATTCCACGTGCCGCTGCACGTGCTTCTATGTTCCCCCTTCCCCCCACCCCAACCCCCTCCCAAGAGCTACCCATGTTTCTCCCAGTGTTCGCTGTGTGCTTTAATCTGTGTGTACATATATATATATATATAGATATACGTATACATATAGACAGAGAAGGGTTTGCCAAATATTACTGTCCCCCCTCATTTCCCAATACTTGTTCGGGGGGGGAATCTTTTCCGCCGGGGCGATGACGAAGGGATTCCTTCTGCAACGGATTACAAAACGACCCCTTCTGTACGAATTACAAAAAGATTTCTTTTGTGACGGCATACAAAAGAATTCCTCTTATGGCGGCTTACAATAGGCATTCCTTCTGTGGGGGGCTATAAAGAATCCGTTCCTGCTGGCTGCAGAAGGATCGCAACTGCCGCGGCAATTGTTTATATGTGTCCTCTCCTCCTCGTCAAGAGCTGCTCATTGTTTAACAGTGTTCGTTGTGTGCCTGTTGTTCCTTTTGCCCCCTGTTCCCCTTACTCTTTCGGAGAGAAGGGCTCCTTCTCATCCGAGGCGATTACACGAGGACTCCTTGCGCGGCGCGTTACAAGAGGATTCCTTTGGTGCTGGCTACAAAAAGGGTTCCTTTTGTGGCGGCGTTCAAAAAGATTCATTCCTGGCGAATTGGAACAGGATCCCTCTGGCAACGGATTGTAGCAAAATCCTTGTGTGCAGATCCCAAAGGGATTCCAATCGTCGCGGCAGTATTCCTGTTGTTGCTCTTCTCCCCCCAAGAGCTTCTCAGTGTGTCATCTTGTTTCGATGCGTTTCTGGGTTATTTCAAATGTTTCCATGTATTCCCATGTTCCCTTTGCTTGTTCGGGGGGGGGGGGGCTCCTTCTCCTCCGGGGGGATTACAAAAGGATGCCTTATGTGGCGCATGACCGAGGTATTCCTTCTGTGTTGGTTACGAAAGGATTACTTTTGTGGCACCTTACATAAGCATTCCTGATGTCGCGCGCTGCATAAGGAGATTCTCTTGTGTAGCGGATCAAACAAGCATTCCGTTTGTCGCGTGTAACCAAAGGATTCTGTTTGTGGCGAATTACAGAAGGTTGCTGTTGAGGCGGATTACACAAGGGCTTTCGCGGAGGACTATTACATAATTGTGTTATTTGTGCGGCTAACCGAGGGATTCCAACTGCCGTCGCATGTTTCATATGTTGCCCATCCTCCCCCCAAGAGTGGTTCAATGTTTCCTATTGTTCGTCGTGTGATGATCGGGTTGTTTCCAATGTTTCCCGTGCTCCCTTCTTTTACGTTAATTTGTTCGGGGAGGAGGGTTCTGTCCCCTCCGAGGCGATTACCATCGGATTCTGTTTGTGGCGGGTTACTGGAGAATTCCTTGCGCGTGTATTACAAACGGATTCCCTGAGCGGCACAGTACACCTAAGTCGGGCCTGCCCCCCTACAGGGGGGATTTTCGACGAAAAACAAAAAACTCAAAAATACCCCCACAATGCTCAAAAATAATTGTTTAAAAATCGTCCCCCGATTATGTTTTACTATTTTTGAATGTTTCCCCTGCACAGGGGCAGGCCCGACTTAACATTACACATGGATTCTCACTGTCGCGCGTTACAGTGGGGTTCGCTTTTGCGGCGCAATTACAAAGGATTTCTTCTGTGGCGGCTAACAGGAGGATTCCTTACGTAGCGGATTCCAAACAATTTGCTTTTTGTGAAACTGGAGACGTAATGCGGGGGCTGTGGCCCTGCGCTCGACACGATCCCCTTCCACCAGAACATCCCACAGCGCAGCGCAGCAGACAACACAACGCGACCAAGAACATCGTACGACACGATGCGCCGCCAACTATGCACCCCGCAAGAGACGCACCCCCCCCCCAAGTCCCCCGTGCCCCCTCCTTCAGCCAGCACGTGCTGTTGCGACGAGGGTCGAACGCGTAGCACTTGCAGGCCCGCAGGCCCTCGCACCGACTCCTGCACGAGCTCGCCGTCGCGTTCGTGAACACCCCGCCCGTGGCGTCCTCGAGCGCCTTCGCACCGACGAGGTCCCTCCTGGTCACGGTGCTGCAAGTCTGCCGGCTGGTCTGCTGGCTCTGTTTAACGGCGCTCGCCGCCAGCCTGCCGCCATCGTCCGGCTGGGTGCTGCCGGGCAGGTCGAACATGGGCCGCTCCTCATGGCAGGCTCCGCTGAGCATGTGCGCCGTCTGCTCCCCTTCGGAGAACTGGTCGCAAGCGCCACTCTTGAGCCAGCAGGTCTCGTCGTGGCTTGGGTCGAACGTGTAGCAGTTGCAGCCTTCGGTCTGCTCGCAGCGCTGGCGGCACGTGACAGCGTCGTCGTTCCTGAACACGCCGTCTTGTGCAAGCAGAGTCCCCACGATGTCCTTACCAAACTCGCTGGTACAGATCTGCGGCCGCCTGTCGCGGCAAGTTCCTGCCGTCATGTCATCGGCCTCGTGCCACGTATAGAGCTCGTTGCACGGGCCCCTCTTGAGCCAGCAGGACCCGTTGCGGCTCGGGTCGAACGCGTAGCAGCCGCAGCCCGGATGACTGCGGCAGTGCTCCAGGCAGCCGTCCGCGTCGCCGCCCGTGAGCACGCGGCTGCCTTGGATGGTGTCCCCGAGGACGTCCTTTGAAGGGGCCCCAGGACGTACAAATAAATACACACAAATCAAAAGATTCCCCATATTTCCCCATAGTTTCTGTGTTTCTGTCTTCCCCCCCACTTCCCATATTTCCCCATATTTTCAGGGGAATCGAGGATTAATTGTGTCTGTGTGTTTCTTTTCCTCCTGATCCTTCCCGGACACCGACGTGCAGACCCGCGGCCGGACCTCCGTCAGCATCTTCCGATCCACGGCGGGAACGACACGTGACCACCGCGGGAGAGCCTTTAGGGGGCCACATGCGAACCCTACCCCTGCCCCCTACGATTTCTGAGGGAGTGAACCCACCCTCCCCCTCAGAAATCGTGGGGGGTAGGGGTAGGGTTCGCATGTGACCCCCTAGGCACGGCCTCGATCCTTCGAGGAGGGGATCGAGTAGGGGGTCGAGAAGAGGTCGAGCATCGAGAATCGAGGTCGAGGTCGAGGATCGAGTAGGGGGTCGAGAATCGAGGATCGAGGTCGAGGATCGAGGTCGAGGATCGAGGTCGAGGATCGAGGTTCGCATGTGGCCCCCTAGCCTTCTCCGCCGCCTGCCGCGCCAACATCGGGAGCGCTGGAAGGTGACCGCCTGCGAAGGCTGCCAGGAGCGCCGCGGCCGCCAGCGTCGCCGTGGCGGCGGTCGCTGCGGAGGCGGTGCCGGCTGCGGTGCGAGTGCAAGCGCATCCCCGGTCTCCTCGGGGGCGTCCAAGCGGGGGGCGTCCACGAGGAAAGGGGGGTGGGAGGGGCGAAGATCGTAGCCAGCGGCACGTGGGCGGCCCGGGGGCGGGGGGGGCCCTGGGGACGCATTGACATTAGAAGAGGCGCCATGAGATCTGGGGGGATAGCACGGCCCCCCTCGTCATCGCCCCCTCTTCCCAGACATGCGACGTCCTGGTTTGGTCAGTACGGGGTCCGTGGAAGCCCCGACCCCTTCCCCGGGACCGGCTTTTCATCCCGAGTCGTTCTTGGACGGTCCCGAGGCCCGGCGAGGGCCCCCCGAGGCCGAGAATGTGCCAAAACCTCCCGTCCCGATGTTTTTGTTCACGGCGCGATCACGTCTGGATCTTCGCCGCCCCTGACATTCGAGGCCTCCTAGATGGGGTCCGAGTAAATGCATCACCAGTGCATCGCCGATGTATCGGCGATGCATCGGCAATGCCTCAGCGACGTCGGCGATGCATCGGCGACGCCGGCGTGGGGAACACACGGGCTCCACATCGAGCCGCATCGTCGATGCCTCGGCGATGCGGCGCGATCCTCCGACCCGATCTACTCGGACCCCCATCTGGGCGGCCTGCAGATCTCCGCGATGGCCTGGCAAGGGCCCCCGGAGGCTGAAGATGATGACCAAACCCTGCCACCCGGATATTTTTTCTCACGGCGCGATTAAGCTTGGGTCCTTGCCGTTGCTTAGGCGTCCATTTCCCGTGCATGTTCCGGTGTCGTGCGTGTTTTTGTTCGGCTCGATGGTCCAGAATGCTCCTTCAGGGTCCTCGCCGAGAGAAAAATTCACACGTCCGAGCTCGGCTACACGCAAGAGTGACCCTGGGTAAGAGTGACCCTTTGGGCGCGGCTTTTGGGGGGCCGCGGGGGGGCGAAACCCAAGGGCGCGCAAGAGAGCGCGATCGGGGGGACCCCATTGGGCCCGCACCAAAGGTCACTCCGGCGAAAGGTCACCTTTACGTGTAGTCGACGAGCGATGCCAGGTGGGTCCCCAGACCCCCGACGTCGTGATTTTTTCCATACGGGGCCCCCGGAAGTCTCGACCCATTCCCCGGGACCAGATCTTCATCCTGAGGCGTTTTCTTAACGGTCCGGGGGCCCGGCGAGGGCCTCTGAAGGTCGAAATCGGCGAAAAACGCCCGTCGTGATTTTTTCAAGACGTTGGATCTCTGGGTCCTTTGAGCAGGGACCGACCGTCCCGGCATTCCTATAGTCCCACCACGAAATTTTCGTCGAACCCGAAGATGTTCGAAGAACAAAAACACTGTTCTTAGAACATAAGCCCGCTGTGATAACACAAGACAGACTCCGCCAGAACTGTTCTGACAACATCTCGTGGAAACCACAGAAAGGGTTATCAGCACATTGCTTGGTAGGGCAACCAGGCGAGCCATGACGCGTCGCCGCTGCTTGAGGGTCCCAGAGATCCGACGTCGCGATTTTTTCAATGCGGGGTCCCTGGAGGTCTCGACCCATTCCCCAGGAACGGTTTTTCATCCTGAGCCGTTTTTTGACGGTCCTGGGGCCCGGCGAGGGCCTCTAGTGGCCGAAAATTACGAGAAACCCGCGTCTTGATTCTTTCAAGACGTCGGCTCTCTGGGGCCCTCGCCGCCGCCTTGGTCTCCGTGCTGGCCCGGCGCGGTGCCCGCCGGCGCCGGCTCCGCGGCCGGGGCGCGCGGCCCCGCGGCGCCCAGCAGCGCCTCCTCCACGTCGCCCCCGCGCGGCGGCCCCGGCGCCGCCGCGGGGCCCTCGGCCGCGCGCATCGCCGCGCCGCGGTGTCGGTCGGGCCGGGCCTCTTGCAGGCGGCCCCCTTGGAAGGAAGCCAGGAGAGCCCAGAATCGAATCGATGAGTCGGGTCGACGATCGAAATGAATCGGATCGGCGGAGATCGACAACCAAGTCGGGAAAAGTCGAATCGGCGTCCATCGGCAAGCTAGTATGCCTCCGGTGAGAAATCTGAACACACATCGGAATCCCAAGTCGAATCGACTCGGAATCGGAAGCCATCGATGCCGAATCGAATCGAATCGGAAGAATCGAAACGAGCCCTGGGAAGCTCCCCCCAAAAAATAGAGGAGCATGCCAGAAGAGCAGGACATGTTCGGGAGAGCGTCCCCAGACTGTTGTCTGATGCTTCTGGGGTAGCAGGATCTTCCAGAACAGCTGGAAGTAGCCAGAACATTGCCCCCAGACTATTTCTGGACTCTTTTGGAAGATTGACAGATTCAAAAACAGCAGAATATTGTCGAAACATCGTCCCCAAACTATTATTGGACTCTTTGGGGAGACTCCTCCTGCAGAGCACGCCCGACTCCCCGCTCGGGCGCTCCCGCGCCGAGAGCGCCCCCCGCGCTGCAGGCCCAGACCCCCCGACGCCTTGATTCTGTTCCACAACGTCGACCTCCAGAGGTCTGGACCCCTTTCCCGGAACCCGCTTCTCATCCTGAGTCGTTTTTTTGTTGACGGCCCCGAGGCCCGGTAAGGGCTCCCCGAGGCCGAAAATTGCACAAAAAACACACAATAATATTATAGATATACGTAACTAACTAACTAAACCAAAACAAACAGAACAAAAAAAAAAAAACGCAGCGCGAGGGGGTCTGCAGGGCCCCGCAGCAGTCGGGCAGCCCAGGCCAGCCGCCCCGGGGCGCGGACGGGCCGCAGCGGCTGCGGATATGGGGCACGGGGGCCACGCACCAAGGGGGGTGGAAAGGCGCTTCGCTGCCCCGATGCGCGGCACGCAGCACGTATCGTATCTCGCTGTCGCTCGGACGTCCATTTCCCGTGCATGCTTCGGTGCCGTGCGCGTTTTTGTTGCTCGATGGTCCAGGATGCTCTTCCAGGGTCCTCGCCGAGGAAAAAATGCACACGTCCGAGCGATGCCAAGGCATTGATACGGAGCCCAACTCGTAGGCTGAAAACGTAGGCCCGCCGCGATACGTTCGCCAAAACGGGGTCCAGCACGTGGAGCCAGCACGCAACGTGTTGACATGTACGTTGACATGACGTTTCAATTTCAAAAGGGGCGTATCGAGGCAACTAAGGGGGGGAGGGGGGAAGGCTTCTTAGAGCCAAACCCCGACCCCCTCGAGCAATGAAGAAATCCGCCGACCCCTTGTGGGTCTCTAGGCGTGTGAGATAGTTCCCCCCCCCCAAACCCCCCCCCCTAAGGACCCGAAACTAGAGATTTGACCCCCCCCCCCCTCGCCGACTACGACCCCCCGCCGGACGCGCCAAAGGGAAGCAGAGGGCCCCAAAACGGGCCAAGAGCGCACCAAGGGGTCTCCGAGACGGTCCAAGAAGGCCTTGAGTAGCCAAACGAGCGGTCCAAGACGACCAAGATGACTCCAAGACAGACAAAGATACCTCCAAAACGGCCCAAGAGGCCTCCAAGATGCGCCCCAAGAGAGCCCCCAGACTTAAAAATTGTCCCATTCCCTTCGTAAGACGTATATGTTCAGCCTTCTCGCCTTTTTTGCTGTCCGATGCTCAAAGTCGGCCCAGGAGGCTCCCAAAACCGCCATCAGACGGCCCAAGAGGCCTCCAAGAGGACCCCGAGACGGCGCATGAGGGCCCCAAGACGGCCCAAGGGGCGCCCAATACGGCCCAAGAGGGCCCCAAGACGTCACAAGAGGGGATCCAAACAGGCTCCGAGAAGGCTTTAGATGCCCCCCAGAGCTCCAAGAGGTCGCCGAAGAGGCTCCAAGTGGTTCCCAGGGGGCTCCCAAAGAGGCCCTGCGAGGCGCCCCCGAAGTCCAAAAGAGGCCCTGCGAGGCGCCCCTGAAGTCCAAAAGAAGCTTCAAAAGGGCTCCCACGAGGCCTCCGAAGAGCCACTCGTTGTCGTCGTCGCCGTCGCCGTCTCCATAGTGCGGCAGAAGCGAAGAGGCGGAGGAGGAAGAGGTAAGTGAAGAGGAGGAGGAGGAGGAAAGGAGGAGGAGGAGGGGAAGAAGGAGGAGGAAGATGAGAGGAAGGAGGAGGAGAGAGGAGGGAGGATGGGAGGAGGGAGGGGGAGAGCGTTGGAGGAAGGAGGGAGGAGGAAAGAGGGCGGAGGATGATGATGATAAGGAAGCGGAAGCAGGAGGAGGAAGAGGAAAATAATCAAGAGAAGCCGGCAAACGAGCAACGATGATGAGGAGTTCGAGTTCGAGCTCTCGAGAGGGTTTGGTCCAAACGACCCACTTGACGTGGTTCGAAGACAAGAGAAAACGCCAAAGTGCAGGATGTTTACGATCCTCCGCGAGGTGAGCAGAGCATCCCTCGCGAGGCCCAGAAGTGCCACAAATGCAGAAAAGCCTAGGGGGACTGTGGGCCAAGGGTACCTTTCCCCCTGGAAGAGAATACAACATGAACATACACTTTCGGCGGTCCTCCGCAGATTTCTTGGATCCGAGGAGGAGGAGGAGGACGAAGAGGAGGAGGAGGACAAGAGAGGAGGCGGAGGCAGAGGCGCAGGAGGAGGAAGACACGGGTCGGAGAAGGAGGAGGCGGTGGAGGCGGGGGAGGAGGAGGAAGAGGAGGTGGAGGAAGAGGAAGAGGCGGAGGAGGAGGAGGAGGCGAAGGAGATGGAGACGAGGAGGAGGAGAATGAGAGGGCGGCGGAGCCCACGGGACGCGTTCGTAAACATATGAAACGATCGAGCCCCTTTCCATGAGGAAGTTGTCCATGTGCCCACGAGGCGCCCTACGAAACAAGGGATCCTTCGAAACAAGGGGTCGGCGGATGTGGCATAGGCCTGAAGAATCATGACGGGAGGTTTTTCGCTATTTTCGGCCTCCGGGGGCCCTCACCGGGCCTCGGGACCGTCAAAAAACGACTCTGGATGAAAAACCGCTCCAGGGGCATGCGTCGAGACCTCCAGGGGTCGACGCAATGAAACAATCATGACGTCGGGGGTCTGGGAACGAATTCCCAGAGCCTCCAGAGCTCAACGAATCAAGATCCTGAGATCCCAACTTCTCGACAAGGCGCAGC